AGGGAAAAACTTATCCCCAAGGTTAATAAGATGGGCACTCAAGTTACAAGAGTATAATCTGGTAATCAAGCACACCCCCGGAAAGGAAAATATCGTAGCAGATGCCCTATCCAGAATAAAAATAGATGAAGAAGGTAATACTGTAAAGGTGGCAATGCTCACAGCATGTACAATAAATTCCCGAGAAACTGTAATAACCGAACTGGGTAAGGATCCTGAATTTAGAAAACATTTATGAGTATTTAAAGGATCCTGAAAATTTTAGCCACCAAGATATTGTGGCGATAAGAAATAGGGCGGCCCATTACGAACTAATAGATGGTCTATTATTTTATACAAAAACTACAAATTCCAACAACGAATTTCGACCTGTTATCCCAGCTAGTCTTAGATTAAATATCCTGCAGGAGTTACACGACTGCCCTTTAGCTTCTCATGCTGGTATTCGAAAAACTATCCAACGCGTACGCGAAGCAGTCTATTTTCCTGAACTGCAAAAGTTAACAAGGGCGTATGTCCAGTCCTGCCCAACATGTCAAGCAGTTAATTATATTAATTTCCGCCCGGCCGGGTTTCTAAATAGCATTAAATCCGAATTTCCAAATGAAATAATTGGCATCGATTTATTGGGCCCTTTCCCAAAAAAGTCAGTTAAATAAAAGTCGGTATCTCCTTGTTATGGTTGATCATTTTAGTAAGTGGACCGAAATTGTTCCCTTAAAACGAGCCTCCGCGAAATTAGTTACTGATTCTATTTTAAATAAATATATTTTAAAATACGGGGCGCCCCTAAAAGTTATATCGGATAATGGTCCTCAATTTGTAAGTAATATATTTGAAGACATGTGCCAAAAACTGGGCATACGTCATTTAAAAATGGTCCCGTATCGGCCGCAATCAAATATAGCGGAACGGGTCAATAGAAATATAGTGAAAATTATCCGTAGTTATGTTAAAAATTTTCATAAAAGCTGGGATAACTATGTCAATGAATTTGCTTTCGCCCTTAGGACCGCAAAACATGATACAACGGGCAAAACTCCTGCTGAGTTATTTTTAGGCAGAAAGATTATAACGCCGTTAGATAAATTATTTTATGTTCAACAAAGAGCCCCAGAATTTAAAATGGGTGATATAGAAAAATTAATTAAAGAAGCAAAAAAGAACACTGAAGTAGCACAGAGAAAACAAAAAACTTTATTATGATATGAAACGACGGGGAGTAACTTATAAAGTAGGAGATGAAGTATTAAAAATTAAGCATTCACTTTCTTCAGCACCAGAAGATAAAACTGCCAAATTTTTTCCACGATTTGAAGGACCATATGTCATAGAAAAAATAACTCAGGCTGTAGTGGTGTTAAAAGCCAGGAATGGTGAAACATGCTCCGCAAACATTGACCAGATAAAACCATTCTATGACCGTAATAAAATGCAAATATTTAAAGATCTTTTGCAGGATCCGGCACGGCAGGCACTGCAGGCACAAGCTCCAGAGGTGGAACAACGACAATCACAAGGGCAAGCCATTAGGAGGCAGGAGCAATTGAAAAGAAAGTTTCCCCGTTGGAAAATTGAAGGTAACAAGAAAAAGAAGCCGTTCCACCGACCAGAAAAAAGAGAGAGCACACAACGACCACCCCAGAATGAAGAAGGGAGAAGTACGACGAATGCAAAGAGAGCCAGGAGAAATAACGGCAACTATAACCCGGCTCCCAAACGGAAGATCTACTCATCGGACAGGAGTCTACGCAGCAAATGTCGACGAATTGCGGAAGGAACACACCAGCTGCGGAGGCAAAGAAACAAGGAAAATTTGAACAGCCAGCAACGAGATCCAAGCAGGAACGAGAGAGAAGTGTCCCGGTTCCGCCAAGACCAGCTGCCATCAAACGGCCAAGACCACAGGCAGAGGCGAAAAAGAAGGTCTTCAAGGGTGACCGAACTGGAAGGAAAAGAAAGCTCATAGAGGAAGGAACTGAAGGGCGAGCCCGCACAAGAAGGAAGATAAACCAAACGCTAATCTTCGCTACCTTCCAGGACTGGGCAGAAAAAAAGAATGTCCGAATATCACAAAGATAAGTAAAACTTTATGTTACTTTGCAACCTTAAGTTAATCTTTCATTCTTACTGCAAGTGGCAGAATTCAAGACGTTTTACCTCATGTGAGGTCTACCTTTATCGCCAAAAAGGCGAGAAATGAGTTGTTACCTATTTTGGTATTATGTTTTTCAATTACTCGCGAGTAAAACTAAAATTAATGTATAATAGGAATGTGTAAATACTTGAATATTGTAAAAGTTATTGTATAAAATTTTATTTAAAAGATTCTGGCAAGAAAGAAGTTTTAGTCTGAAAGACTTTTGAAATGTAGTATTTCAATGTAGAAGAATTGGCACTTGCTTGGAAAAGAATAGAAGTTAACAATGTACTACTAATGTATGTTTTAAAATGCGTAAAATTAACGGCATGTTAATATGTTCTTATATACAATGTGAACTGTTATTTTAAGATTTAAGAAATACTGTGATATGTTAAAAGTGAAAGTAATGCCAAAAATTTTTATTCGTGTGACTGTAAAAAGAGAAAATTATTGTGAATATGTGTTAAAGGTTGAATGAATGTAGTTAGGCTCTCTGACGCTACACTTCAGAGTTAGCCACTTTCAGAATAGTACCTCAGGGTTTAGAGATGAATATAAGGTGTGTTATGAGGTCTTGTTATGTTGAATTTTAACACGTTAGTGTTTTGATTGCAGGCGGTAGTGTTGAACACTTGTACATAAACACATTCGTGTTTGGTGTTTTCTTTTACAACACATGTCAGAGAGCACGGGGAGAGATAATTAAATAAAGTCATGAATGAAATAAGAATGTTAAGAGAAATATAAATATTCATGTTACTTGCCATTTAATTGTGTAACATTTCATTAAACTAGTTTTCCTTCCAGATCTCTGGAAGGAACCAGATTTCAACTAAAAGCTCCTGTTTAGATGCAGTACAGATGAAAAGTAATTGTCCATGGAGCTGATAATGTAAAAACGATTTCTTTTTAAATTTCTAGTTTCTAGTGAGAAATGTTTGTAAAAGATTGGCCTCGCGTTAGATTCTAGAGCTAAAAGTTTTCAACAAGGTCGTTTTAGACCTCAGTTTCAAACTAATTAACTCTGGCGGGAAGTATGTAAGGATCTTAAGTTTTACTAACGTTTATTTTATTTTAAATCTTTACTATCACTTCTTATTTTCTACTTCCGGCCAGAATTAAAAGCTTTAACTTATTTATGCAAATTTGTCTTGGCGAACGCCAAGTACTTAAGTTGTGGCTTTTTGCCAAGCAAGAGAGAGGAAGGAGTGATTAGGAAGCAGGCCGCTTGCCATTAGCAGTTTTTTACTCGGTTGCTGGTTGCCTTCAAGGCCAGAGGTTTAATCCTCTTGATAATTTTAAACGTATTGTAGTGTTAACAGTTCTCTGTACTACATACGGCTTTCCTGTTAATATACGGCCAATCTTCAAGTAGGCACTTGTTTATTAATCCAAAGTTAGTTTAGTTAGAGTTTAGTTAATATTTTTTATATTCTTACGTTCAGACCACAAGTGGTTGGTCTCTGTATTCCGAAGTCCGGAAATCATTGTAAAGAGAGAAAAATAAAGGGTTTCGTATACCCTTCCTGTGTATCTTGTCTACTTCCCACATTTATTGAACATAGCTTTAGTAAGCTCCCTGTTCCGAGTCAGGTCATTTAATGTTCCCAAGCAAGTAAGGAGGAACACTGACCTGATAACTTAAATTAGGAAAATTTGAAATTAGAGCAAGAGTATTTTAAATCTTAATTAAATAATAATTTTTTTTTAAAACATTAATTTAAATAAATTGAAATTTTCAACATATATTTTATAAACTCATGTTATAATATGCATATGTATAAAATTTCTTTTTGAAAACAAGAAAACTTTTTTTGAAAACAAGAAAACAATAAAAACTAATTTTTAATGTCAACGGTCCCCTTAAAGCAGTTTGAAAATCTTGTGTTGATATAAGAACGAAGTCTAACGTCACAGTATCGAGATTTTTTACTATCGTTGAGCTCATGCTGGTAGATGGAGGATATGGAAGTAAAACACTTTTGTATGAAGTTTCTTTCTAGTACTTTGAGAGGATATTTGAATTATACAGGATTTCAGCTGGGAATTTTGCCATTAGTAGAAACATAAATACACGTTTATGCATTTCACCTCACCTCGAGTCAATAGGAAATAATTTACTTAATTCGGCAATCTAAGAATAAAAACCTGGAAGCTCATTAATCTTAAAATGTAATCAAATTTGATGAAAATGGATACTGAATAAAACCTGATTATTGCTTCATTTTTAACAGAATGAAAGAATTAAACAATAAAGAAAGGTTTTTCAAGTAACTCTGACCTTTAATTAAGTTTATTAAGACTATCTTTCCGATAGATGTAAAACCTTAATTTGATGACTCGTCACATCGGTGTTTTTTTTTTTTTTTTTTTTTTTTTTTTTTTTTTTTATGTCAAGTTGCGGTGAATAAAGACACTTATTTTCTTCTAATTCTACTTTATGAAGCAAAATATATTTACAAATATTTACGATATTTACGTTGGAGTTACATAATAACTTGTTTAACAATATCTTACCACACTTCTATATGACCACACCTATCCACACTCTCTCAGCACTGAAGCGTTTTTATTAATTAGATATATAGGGCGGTGCACCGCCCTCTGTATTTTTGTCTACAACAGAATCGTTGCTAGAAAATTTTAATTGCATGATATTAGAAAAATGTTCTGCACTGACATTAAAAATGTGACTTCAGAAACAAAGTTATCTAAGAAATTGACAGATGTCTCTTATTAAATTTCAGTACTTAATCAACATTTTGTTCTCTTAATGGACACTGTACACGAAAGGTGAAAACTGACGCCTAAATTTAAACTATATTATTGTCATAAATCCTTGGTAAAATTATCTCACCTGAGAGTGTTCGCCCTATCCTAATAGGTCCTAAGGGTATCTTCCTGGATGTTTGCTCTACATCTAAGTAACCACTTGTTAATCCTGGCAGGGACGCTGTTGCTTTAGGAGCTATCGCTTTTCCATTCTGCCGAAATCGTGAGCCCGATTCATTCGTCCATCGGGCTTGAGAGTTCGGCGAATTATTATTAAGGCTTGCTTGAACTGGCACATAGTGAGATGGAGCTGTTCCGAACTTGGCTTGTCCAATGTTTAAGGAATGTTGAATACCTAATAATTAAAAATCCCAAAAGCTTCTAATGCAATAACAACTAGCTAATAAATGTCATGAAGTTAAAATGAAAGTAAAACTCTGACTCTTTAGAAGCATATTTTGATGTAACAGCATAGAGTAAATAATGCTAAGTAATAGATTTTACTTTTATTTACAGCATATACTTGATTTAAAAACAGTGCTTATACTTTTCTAAATAGATTTGCAGTTGCGGTATTATTTTGTCACTGCTTCGTAAATTGGATTTAAATATTTGGAAAACTAATTTTTTCCAGACTCTTTCGGTATATATTTTCATAGGAAGAGCAAGCTTTGTCATTGGGGAAGCGCACCTAGAATGGAACTAGGTAAATATTTAATACTAGTATACTATCACAGAAATAATTTTCCAGAAAGAAATATATTTTGGTATATATCAGATAATAAATTTAAGTTATACGAATAATGTGGCAAAAGGATCATTTCTGCGTGTGACCGAAAGCGAAATGATAGTGCATGATTCTCTTTTGGAATAGAAAATAGAATCTGCGAAATATATGAGCTTAATTTCAGTTGCAGTTTGGCTTCATAATTATTAAACATTTGTTAAAATGTCATTTTAGATGCTGATACTTTTAGTTTTAGTACATATTTTAGGAAAACGGTTTCGAGAATATAAATTAAAGAAATCCACTGAAGTTTTTTTTCATTTCGGCTGAAAGAATTTATAATTGATATTAATGAAAGCTAATCAAAATGTTTTCCAAGATGAAAATAAACATGATTATACTAATAAGTTTAGTCTTATATTTTAAGTATATTGTGATAGAAAGCTAAGAACTGTGTTAACCTGTAAAGTTTTAGTGAACAATTTGTGCGTAATACGCATAGTTTGGTCCTACAAACCCATAAATAAATCAAATAATTTGTGAATTATAGTTAGAACAAATTCTTAATTAATTAAATACACACACAAATTCTAACACTCTCACACATAAATTCTAACACTAACAAGTTTAGTCGTATATTTTAAGTATATTGTGTTAAGAAGATAAGAACTGTGTTAATCTGCAACGTTTTAGTGAACAATTGTGCGTAACAGCGTGACCTTCGGGAATTTAGATGGCCTGATTAGTTGCAAATTCATGCTTCACTGTGTATACTGCAAGTGAAGAATTCCTACGTTAGTTTGTGTACTATTCGTTAACTTTGCACTGTGTTTTTTCATCATTTATGCGTTTTTTTTAACTACTAGATAAATTTTAGTAATTTAAACAAAGTATTTATTTTCGTTTTTAAGTTCAAATCGATAGTTAAGTTTACATATGTTTTGGCATTTGTTAATAAATATACGATCGACAAAGCTAAAATAAGTCTTCATTAAAATAAGTCTGCTAAAATAAGTCTGCGTTCAAGCCTGAAAATCTAACTACGACGGCACCAATAAATACATACATTAGTATTCAAGTTTCTAAAAGATACATTAAAACGACATTTGTAGATTGAAAATATTCCAAATGTGAGTACGTATTATGTGTGAGTAACATTTTAGAGAAAATGATATGATTCGGCACGATTACTTACCAAAAAACAAAGGTACAGATATACAAGTTTGTAGAAAGCACCCTAAACTAAAAACCAGGCTTCTCTACTCACAGTTTTGGGTGGTATACTCATCTGATAATCTAACACTTCAGAGTATGAGCAGGGAGTAAAAAAGAGCTGAATTTTTTAAAAAAGAAAACATTGCATTATTTGTGGATTTATCTTCTTCATTACTGAAAAAATTAAACATTTCAGGTGAATTCAGATATAATTCTAAAAAAAATCTACTGATGGTGTTTACTAAGAATAATGTTAAGTAATAATTTCATGTAAGAGGTAGTTTGACGCCCTGAACGGCCATCCGTGGGGAGTATGTTGAGATCTCCCATAGAGGACGTTGTAGCACCCCTCAACTTTCGATTTGAGAGAGAGTTGGCGTGGGTTTTGAGAATGTAGTGTGAAGAGCTGTGTAACGCGTATTTGCTATGTAACTGTACTATGTAATATAATGTAATTAAATGTATTTATTCAAAATGTGGAGCAATTTTGAAGGAGCATACTTCACATTTTTACTATCAATTACATTAGTTATCTTTTGTTTCAAGAGGATAATTTTTTTCTGAATATTCCTTTGACACAGTAATTTCCTCTTCTATATCATCACAATTACAAAGATTTTTCACCTCTACATTTAATCGTTTTAAATTAGTTTCCTTATCAATTATTTGGGCTCGAAATTCCTTTAAAGTATCTATCGTAACATCTATCTCGCTAGAATTTTCCTTAATAAAAGCTTCAACTTTGTTAATTAACTTGGTTAACGTAGACCTAACTGCGCTACGCTCCTTTCTCAACTTAGGTAATTCCGACATTTTACACAATTCAAATTTCAAAGAAAACATCAAAACAAAGCCTACCTTCACTTCCTGCAGAATTCCACAAATTCCCAAACAAAGCTTGCAACTAAACCACTAGAATCCACAGCTTCCAAGACCGACTCTGGTTCTCACTGGTGGCTCCATAAAAATGTGAAGTATGCTCCTTCAAAATTGCTCCACATTTTGAATAAATACATTTAATTACATTATATTACATAGTACAGTTACATAGAAAATACGCGTTACACAGCTCTTCACACTACATTCTCAAAACCCACGCCAACTCTCTCTCAAATCGAAACTTTTTTCACACAGTTGAGGGGGTGCTACAACGCCCTCTATGGGAGATCTCAACAGATGGAATTCATAATTTTTATTTAATTTTAGTCTGTAACCTAAATTGGGAAACGCATTTATGTATCACTTCATATGTATACAGCAACATCTGTTCATTTCTTTGATTCCTTCCTCATTATGAGAATATAAAGATATCATTGCATTAGAAATAATACTCTTTCTGTAATGTTGTAGAAAAATTATAGTTTATTTAATTCATGTCTGCAGTTGTTAAGAGACATTTCAGGAGATTTAAATTCTTTTCTGTGACTTTTGATCTGCTATTCTTTTTATTAGATAATAACTGAAATTAATTAAAAATTACTTTGCATTCATTTTGAAAGCTCTGAAGTATTTGTAGTTTTAAAGAATTGGATGCATTATTGATCGTTTATTCAAGTTATTTTTAAGAATTATATTGTAATATTTTAACGTTTTTTAATTTGTTAAATAACGTTCATTTTTTCTCAGTAAATTATTTATACTTTGGAATCTTTTCATTCTTTTCTTTCTCCTTTCCTCCGCGTCTGCGAAATTAAACCTGCACAGTTTGGGATGAATGAAATCAAGAGTAAATTTCGTAACCATATTTTTCGGAATATTTATTAAAGAATTATATTTATTTTAGTATTTAGTGGAATTAGTGGAAGAATGAATAATCAAACATTAGAGATTTATTTATGTTAATAAATTACAACCTTTTTTGTTTCTTTTAAAACTTTGCTTTTCTGCGAATCCTAAAAAATCATTACTATATAGCATAAAAATTATTATATAAATTATCATAAAATATTGGATAAAAATTTCGTGAATATTTCTTAAAATAATACCTATTATGCTACTAATCTATATTATAAATTAATAAACTACCTTTCATACACGTTTTCCCATAAGTCTCTGGAAATTATATTATTAAGCATTATCAAAAACATAAGATTCCAAACATTAAACGAAACGCCAGTATTCAAATCTGAAGCGAAGAAAATAACGGAAAGACGTCTTCCGTGACGTTATTCTGTTGCTAACCAGGCCATGCTCTCCAGTTGGCCGTGGTAATAGGCATAGTTTGGTCCTATGTGTCCATAAATAAATCATATAATTTGTCAATTTACTAGTTAGAACAAATTCTTAATAAAAATGATTAGTAATATCATTTAAAGATAAAATGTGCTGAATACTTTCGAAAGTGATGAAAGAACCTTAAAATGAACACACATGAGATTCCTCCCATTATAACAAACAATGAAAAAAACTTATTCCCCTTTTTGCCAATAGAGGAAGAAAAGAACAATGGGACTTCGATGTCCAAGCATTTTTGATCGCGTACCCGTAGGTCGAAAATAATTGTAAGTTGTACCCCATACAATATAATACTATAATGTAATATAATATACATGATCATAGACTCGCAAATGATCATGGACTTCTTTAGCGTACCCCTAAGTATCACTTTGCATACCTCACTTTGGTGGTCTAGAGTATATGCATCTAGTCTTACATGAAAGATAATGTTGTTTCTAACTATTTAGTGTCGTTAACCCAGGTTAATTTATAACTAATGTATGTTTTTCAGTCATCGAATTTTAAACAGGCATATTTGAAAGATATACTGTTTTGTGTATTTCACCTTTACTCAAAGACAAAGAAAAGTTAGGTTCAAAGAAGCCGGTTGGTCTTATCGATGAATAGCTGGACATTTGAATAGGAGCGATGCCAATATTAGACGATGTTGGCAGGAATGGGTGAACCATGGCTGCACACAGCGTCAAGAAGGAAGCGGTAGGCGTAGAAAAACGACAGAACGTGAAGACCGAGCAATCTTCAGAGTGGCACTCCAATCCCCAGATGCATCATTATCATCGATTGTACGTGCAACTAGTGCTTCAGTGACCGCAAGGATCATTCATAGACGGCTCACAGAAAGAGGGCTGAGGTCACGGAGCCCCTTGCGCCGGCTATCATTGACCTCTGTACAACGTCAAGCCCGTTTGCAGTGGTGTCTGGCTCATTCGCACTGGAATATCACTGACTGGAGTAGAACAGTCTTCAGTGATGAGTTTCGCTTTGAACTGAGCCCCAATGAACCAGCGAAGGCGAGTCTGAAGACGCCCCGGACAGCGGTGTGATACCAACCTGACTGTCTTCTGGCTGACAGGATGACAACCAGGAGTGATGGTCTGGGGTGCCATTTCATTTCATAGTAGGACCCCTTTGGTTGTCCTCCGTCGCAACATTACAGCACAGCGGTACGTCGACGA